TAAGTGAGTTAAAGATATCTTCTCGCCGGAGTCTCCGGCCGAGGATAACGACGGACGAGATGCTCCGGCCCGGCTCCAGCCCCGTCGTGGGAGCGACGATTATTAGAATCCGCGGGCTTCGGTGCTAATGTCCCCCGAACAATTTCGTGATTTTCCACAGCGCATAAAAGCTACGATGTTTGCTGTCTTTAATGGCACATAACGCCATTACAGCCTCCTCCATGCGCGTATTCGCCGTGTGACCATCCGCCATCTTTATCTCTCCTTTTTTTTCCCCTGTCCTTTTCCGCTGTCCCCGCCGCCGCGATAATTAACTTCGTGTGCGATAATATTCGCGGGCACGCTCGTATTTTTCCGAGATTAGCGCGTTTGGAGACAACAGAGGAGCTGCGTGCCCCGCGTGACAGGTGCGAGGCGAATTTCAAGCATGAAGGTTGAATCTGCGAATAGATTCTTAAACACTGTCGGACAACACAATGAGTTATTCAAACGTAAAAGGAAGCACTTTTCGCGCACGACATCCAGACGTACAAGCGACTTCTTCGCGGATGTGAAAGATGACCACTCAAATCTACGACACATTCTCGTGTTCTTATATTAAGTAATGTAACGGAAAGATGAAAAGAGTCGTCGTTCACCGTAATTATCAGCCGGATATTGGAGCAATATCCTACGAGATCCTTCGGGACTTCCAGCCAAGCCAAAAATGTCCACCTGTCACTCAAAGAATGAAAGATTTCGGACGCAGCCTTTGAGAAGAAAGTCTCGGGTTGAAGAGCGGCGCACAGTAGTCTAAAATCTCGAAAACCTGGCAAAAACTCAATTTTTCTAGCTGGTCTAAATATCGTTCATATCTTTTGCGACTTATCGTTGTTACGATATTAATTTTTGCCAGAAAATCAGGCGTTTAGACTACTGTGCGGCGCCGAGAACGGCAGGACGACCGTTCTTCATAATTAGAATCGCCTTCTACTCTCTAACAGTCAATCATCGCTGAAAACAGTATAAAATATTCACTGATTCACGTGAATTATTCAGTGCTACACTTCTGTTTTCCGCGATAGTGCACCGACTGACCGTTGGAGAGTATCCCTGGATCCGAGAAGGCTCGCGGCGGTTCCGCGCGAGACTCCTGGAAAGTTCGCGCCCGATCTGTCCCGGCGCGTTTAAGCCCAATGCGGCTATCGTCTATTTTCGCAGGGCGTGCGCCGCGATGCGCCGGGCGGCGGCGATAGCACGTGTCGTGATTGTAGTTTATGGGGAGCTGATTGCGGGAGCGTGGGACGTCGCCCCGGTTGGCGAACGGTGGACGGGCACCCGCCGTATCCGGGACGCCATTCATCGGCGGTACTTACACGTATCCATTCGGGTGTCAGTGTTTCGTTTCGTAATCATTAAGATATGCATTATCCCCCTAATGACGGGCGGCGAGGCGCAACAGCGTGTCCGATCGGGGTGACTCTCCGCGAAGCGCGGCGAGGGCGCCGCATAAATTTCGCGTAAAAGGGACCCCTCTCGTCCCCCCCCCCGCCCCTCCTGCGCGATCCCTCTCGCGCTCTCGATGCTGATTAATGCGGATCGCGCGTCGGCCGGCCCCGCAATTAATTAGCCCTCTCGTGATCCTCGCGGGAAATCCACGACGTTGATCGACGTGGCGGTTAATGCGCGACTTCTCGGCGCGCGCGGCTGCATTAAATTTGCCTCTCGCATAACGCGAGGCACCTCCGTCGTTATCGCGCGTTGACATTGTAACTCGCGGCGGTTCGATTTCGACGCGAGAAATGTGTTTCGGGGCGTTTAAATTTTAGAACGACGCTGCCTGCAAACTGAATTCCGAATTCCAGTAGCCGAAAGCTGTCGGTTTTTCGCCGCAAAGTTCTTCTTCGGGCTCAACCCTTCCCTTAATGACACCATCGTCCCTTTTGTGTGGCGACTGCATGAATGTGTAAATTTTCACGTTTATGGGCTTGACGTCATCTTTTAAGCTGTCTGAATTTAAGGGCCGTAAACCGTGGAAAATTTTCCCGTCTTTCACCGGACAGCTCCACTCCGTTCCTTGTTTAGAAGCTATCTTTAACGCATTACGATGTTTTGTCATTGCGGTGCGCGCTAATGTCTCGACGCGGCGCATCGTTACAAATGTTACTCCCGTGCGAACAAACAGAATTATCGTCGTGGCCGATACGCATCAGGGCTTGACGCGTGTATTAATGCGGCGCGGAACTCGAGGCCCATTGTGCCAGATTGCGATGCTCGTCCGAGCGAGTCCTCGCGGCTTTTCGGTCGATGTCCGAAGTGATTACACGCGAATCAGCCGAGGTAGCTTCGCCGCGGCGGGGAGCCCGTCCGAAATGTCTAATGTCCCAGGAAGGAAAGAAAGAAACGATCGTGCTCCGCATGCGTTCTAAGGCCCGCAGCCACGTGTTTCTCCTTTTCTCTTCCTTCCTTTTTCTCTCCCTTCAAGCCGACTCTCGCCAACTTCTCTTTCCCATCGCCCGCTTTCCCCGTTGTCCATCCTCGACGACGACTCTCATGGGCGGCGAGTTACGACCGTTCCCTTTTCTCTCTCTTTTGAACGGCATTAATTACACGGGGATGTAACGATATCGTCGCGATCGCGATTACACGCGGCGCGGCGGCATGAGAAAAATCAAGGACGCGGAAAGAGCAGCGCGGCCGTGCAAAATGTTCGATCCCGCCGGCCGGCACCGCGCCGTTCCATTTTCCGCCTTCGTCTCGGGCGGAAGCCTTCAGCGGCGGACGCTGCGGAATCCCGCGGATTCAATTAAACGCACGATTACTCGGCAAACGTAATTAATTTTAATTAACGATGCGCGCCGAATCGCGGCCGCGGGATCGTGTACAGCGGCCCTCTCGGAACCTCGCACGATCTCATTGGCGGGATCACGCGATGCGTGATGGCACGGAGGCGGTCGGCCGGGATCCGCGACGAGTGTCGACGGCCGCGCGCGGCACTCGTGTGAATCAAAGGGAGATTAGATATCGTAAATTTATATCGGGAGCCCCGCGTTCGGGTCGCTACGAAATCGCCGGTGGACTCATAAGTCGTATCGTCGCGGTGCGCTGCTCTGAAATCTGCAACCAATTGCCCGGCATCGGGAGGCGTTGGACGATTAATCGGCGCGCGATGTTAATATGCCATTAAATAATGTAACATATTAATGTTACGTTTTTTCTTTTCTTTCATTGCGATAAAGTCGCCGAAAGTATACAATTAGACCAGCGAAATGTCAGAAATGTTTATAATGCGCGTTACCGATCGAGTTAGAGATCGAAAAGATCATTCGCAAATTTTTAATAATACGGCGTGTTAAAAATATAATATAAATGCTGCACTGTGACGATGTGAATTGACAATCTCAACACACGAATAAAAAGATTAGGAACAATAACCCCGCGCAGCACAAAGCTCCAATTAAGCTCCTAGGGATTTCACTTCGCTGAGCTACCATGGAACTTACAAAATTCGACAAAACAAGCTTGCGGGGAGTTGATCTCGCTGAGCTCCAGGGAAGCTTACAAAATTCGACAAAACCAGCTTCCAGAGAGTTAGTATACTAGTATCTCTCACTGCCGCGACGTGGCGACCGCGACGTTAGTTTTTCTCGTAAATAAAAATCATCCCATATTAGTATAAAGAGGCGAGCTGATATGACCTGACGGCGAGTTGTCTGGATCATGGATAAAACTTGAATGACCTAAATATACTTTTGATGACTATACCCACACAGCACGCGGAACTCCCGAGGAGCTTCTGGGGAGCTAATGAAATTTTTCATAAACTTTATTTGAATTTCAAACGAACTCGCACGTAGCTCCCTGAGAGCCTATTTTTTAAGCTAGCAGAGAGTTTTTAAACATGTTTTTTTAACTCCCTGCGAGCTTAAATAAAACTCCCCGGGAGCTCTCAAAAGTGGACATAGGAGCTCCCGAGGAGCTTCGTTCGAAGTTCAAACGAAGCTTCTGAAAATTTTTAGAGGCTCCCTAGAGGCTCCCTGGGAGTTCCCCGTGCTGTGTGCGTTGGGCCTGAGGCATAGCGCAAAGATGCGAGCTAATTAGAGCTGTACATTTCTTATACATCTTAATCTTGAGGATATTACTATGGAATAATAGGCCTGTTTTCTGTTGCTACACTGGTGAACTATAAATTAAAGTAAGACAAGTATATTTTTCTCATTCTAGCTTGCTGCACTAATTGACCAGTGCAGCAATAGAAAACAAGCCTCAAGATTGATGAATGATGACGGTACAGTTTTCCGCGAATCGGAAATATACAGTACGCGCCGTATAAAATTCGGGATCTCTTTTCGAAGCCGCGTCGAATCCGCGAAAGAACCCGGTGCGTGGATCGGTCGCGGGAAGCTCGCGGCCGCGCGACGTTCGATATCGCCGGCGATCGGGAGGGTAAGTCGAGCGCGAACGCGACGTACGCGCCGTGTGGGTGGTGTGTGGCGGAGGGAGGACTGTTCTCCAAGGCGGAGTTGGACGTGCGACCACCTCCAACGCGGCGAGATCACCTGGCAGGTGACCAATGCAGCGGCGCCGATAAAAGCCATGAAAGAGCGCGGCTGGGACCGTCGGCTGGTCGCTCCTCAAAGGGGCCCCACGACGAAGGCGGAGCCTTCCTCCGGAGGCTTTCCTCCTTTCATGCCTGCCTTTCGTTTCTTTTACGTGCCCTCGACGATCACGAGTAGGAACCGGCAGTTCGAGCCGAGACCCCGGAGCCAACAGGTCCGGCCTGCTTTGCGTCAAAGCGAAAATTAAAAAAAAAGAAAGAAAAAGGGCGGCGAGCCCCCTTTTTCGCTTCGGCCCCTCGCGGTGGAAGTCGAGCGTCACCGCTGAACAATCGTCGCTCGTCATCGCGAGAAAGTGAGGATTCGATTTGTGAGACGGATTGCGAGCGGGACTCGAAATCGGCGGAAGTGACGATCCTTGGTGTGGTTGGTGCTGCTTGGTGATTGAGAGAGAGGGAGAGACAGAAACGCAAGAAGATCCTTCCTGGAAACAGGAACGATTAAATGGCAGTCAGCACTATCAACATGGCACCCTACTTCACTGGTTATCCTTTCCAAGGTAAGGCTATTAATAATTGTGAGGATACCCGGCACTAAGCAAAACGTGGACACTTTGTAACGATTTCCCCCTTCATAGGTATCTTAGTTTCTCAATTATTAACGTGATGTCATACGTAGTTTACAATATACGACTCGAAAAATCGTATAAAAGATGCCTAACATTTAGGAAATTATTTTTTAAAAAAAGGAACTTTGCAGTTTGTGCGAAAAACGAATTTTTAATAACTTGCTGATAATATAACACCGGTGGAATGCCTGCGTTTCCTAATGCGTCGGTCCACGAATATGATTAACAAATAGTCTATCTACGTAACAATATATGTAGAAATATGCAAGAACAAAATAATTTATGTAATTTTTTTAAGTAATTATAGAAACCTTTCGCGAATTATTTCAGAAGTTAACTGTCGAAACACTTTTCGCAATTCTGTGATCTCGCTCTTGTAAGAAAATTAGTGACTTTATCTTCGGCGTTCCTTGCGTTAAAGAAAATAAATGTCATTGCAATATAATTAATTGTAATATAATTAGATACATTTATTTGCGAAATATCAACCCGGTTGAGAATGCGCGTCATTTTTATTGTGTCGGTCCAGTTTAACGATTTATGTGCTCGTGTATTTACATTCGAGCTTCGCAACAACGCGAATTTTCCTCCCAAAAAGTTACTTCGGCGGTTTAACTTCGTAAAGGAAAACTAACATCTTCCGCTATTCTTAGAAACTGTTCCTCGTCGAGCATATCTCGCAATTAACGTCGGCGTGAGTTTCTCGGCGACGCTCGACGCCCGCCGGCATTTCCGTAATGATGCCGCAGATATTTTACAACCAATGTTAATGGTTTTACGGTGCGCTTTGACTGAATTATTCGCCGTCCGCCAGTGTGGGACTCCCGATGGGCGACTCTGCCATCTTTATAACACCGTTACTGTCCGATTCGTATATGCAATCGGTCTGGCTGATTAATTTCGTCCGAAAGCTTATCAACCGCGAAAACTTACGGTAGTTGGTGCCGTTACGTAATCTAAATGTAAAGACTAATTTATACATACGTCGGTGTTTTGCAATGCAACGCGTAACACGTTGACTATGATGATTTAAAGGTCTGGACACAAAGAAAGACACTGAGAGAGAGAGAGAGAGAGAGAGGGGGGGGGGGGAGATTGTGCATAAATAACCGCACAGAAGCCCGTACGTCGTTCTGCATTGTGTAATTTATGAGTCATGGAACAGTGCGCGACGCTGATATATAAATTTCGAGGGGCAGTCCGAGCTGAGGGGTAACGGACCAAAAGAATATGCTATTTTCGTTCTTCGTGATTTATTACGTGTGTAATTGAAGAGATCAACGCTTCAACTTCGTAAAGAAGCATTAGAAAAATGGCCACAGTTCCCCGTGCGTTTAATTTCAATTATTCGACAATTTGCACAATAATATGTTATGCATATACACTACTCGTATTCTTAATCAATTTTATGATTTATCTTCTGGAGCTGAGTAATAGTTTCTCTTTTCGCTCGTCCTTTATTCCTTCTCTACACAATGCAGAAAGAGGACCCCGGATGGTGAACGATCCGGATCGCTTTCACTCACGTGCGCCTTTAAACCTCCGTTGTTTATCCATCGTTCCGAGAAAATATGCGGAAAGAAGACAGAGACAGAGACAGAGAGATGCGGAGAGACATAGAGAAAGAGAGAGGGGGGGGGGAGAGAGAGAAGAGGGGGCGAGATGGCCACTTTCGAATAAAGTCTGATGCACAGGTCCGCGTAGTGGGCGTCGGATCATTGGAAAAGAGTCCCGGGGTGGTACCCGTATCCCGTACCCGTGGGTACCTAATGTCTGATATCGGATAGGCCTCGGGCGACGGCACGTTGATTGAAGTCCTCGCGCGACTCGGAACTCACACCGCACGCACTAAGTACATGCATCCCTTCGGTACATGCGGTTACTCCCACTCAGGTACGCGCGTGCACCTTCCGCTCTCATCCTCCGATTCTCCATCTGGGGGACCGATCGCCGCATTCGTATCACGGATGGATTGCGTAATCGACGCAACGGAACTTTCGTCGCTCCGCTCGTCGTGCTTGCGAAATTGACCCTTTGCTCTCTCGCAATCGTTTCGCACGCGCGCCGCTCGGCAATTATCCCTAAGCTCGTCGCGGAAACGACGTGTCTTTCATTTTGAATAAACTGCATATTGATATATACGCCGTGAATTAACGCCGCGTAGTAACACTTTCATAAATTATCAGCAGCGCCTTCTTCAGTTACGTGTGGATAATTTTTCCTTCGATTTGAGTGAAATACGAAATAGAATGTTCATATTTCCGTTACTCTTTACATAACGCGTTAAATATATAGAGTAAAGTCGTCTAATACGATTTCGACGTCTAAATTCAATCACAAATCTCTTTCCGCAACGATTACACGACCTAACAATGAATTTGCCACTAAACGGAATTCACTCCAAGGGCAATAAATTCGTGGTGGAACCAACAGACGACGCGAATTAATTTACACTCCGCTATCTCATATTAGGGGCCAGTCGGATAATAGGGGACTCTCCTCTATATTATTATCTAATATAATATGTTGAGCTTGACATTTGAAGAATCTCCCTCGACAGCTCCCCTAAAGATCGTCGGTGATCAGAGACGCCAGATGAAACGACGCGCGATCCAAGTGGCCTCGAGATGCTCCGTTGTCGTAATTGGATGATGATCAGTTACAGCTAAAAGCCTCGAATAACAAATTTAGCGATCGTATCCCGTAATTCCTGCGGGCCGTGAGACGCTCCACGTACTTCATCACGCGAAAATTGGAGCGATCGCATACCTCGATGCGATCCTTAATGAGATTCAATTAATACCCAGATAACACGTTGTTATTACTGCTTAAGAGCGCGAAGGGGGAGCGCGACAGGGGGCGCAGGGGATTACCATGGAGAAAAGTCTCGTAGAGCGAGCGTAATTGCACGGCTCGCGTCTCGTGAACCGCGGTAGTGTCGCGGCCGCAAAGTACGGTGCACGCCGGCTCTTCGCACGTAATAATTTATCCAGGCCGATCGCGGGGGGGAGAAAGGGTTTAATTGACGTCTCACGACACGGCGGGTAATGGACGGCCCGGCGACGTACGTCGCAATTATTTCGGAATTCTCTAAGCACCTCCGTGTGTCTAAGAGCACCCTCGGCGCCCGACGAGGGCCCCGGCGCTGCCTCGCAGGTAAAAATTAACGATGCGCGACGCTTCGTCGGGCGAATTCAAATCAGACACGGGGCCGTCTCCCCGTTATCTCGTCACGTCCGCACGCGGATCATGGGCATTAAGTCGCTGATCGCTGAACAATCAATCGCCCGTTATCAATAATTCATGCTGGAAATTATTTCTTTCGACCGTTTTGCCACGCGGTCCCCCGCGCTGCTGCCGGACACTCGTGCAGGGTGGTCCACCGCGCGCGAACCGAACGTATCTCGCGAAAATGACTCTGCCGCGCGATCACCGTCATAATAATAAATTACGCGAGGACATAAATCACTCACCAGCTGCTTGGATTAAATTGTCCTCTCGAGACAATCGTTTTGTCTACAGCCGAGCGTAATGCCGCGGCGTTTAAAGTGGGAAACCGTTCGGAGGAAGACGAGAGAAGTCCTCATCTCCACCGTCCGTGCGTCCATCCTTTACGATTTCCGTTTACATCGTCGGGCGCCGCTGCTTTCAGAATCGAGACAAAGCTTGATAGATTCCGCGGGCGTACGAATCGCCTCGATCTCCGATCGAGGAGAATAGGTAACGCGGGCTTTTGCAATCGATATACCGGGACTAATCGCGCGAGACGCAGTGGGAAAACGGCCGCGAACGCACGTAGCGGCGGCCGCGTTCCGCAAGAACGGCAATATTCATCGGCGGATAGGGAACAAAAACGCGAGTAAAGGGCCCGCTCGCACGGACGGTAATATTTAACTTTCGATTCCGTGACTCGAGTTATGATCCCCGGTATTCGCGGGAGCGAGCCTCGCGCGAGAATGCGCGGCGACGGTGCGGCGAACGTATATGCATGCGTATGCCTTGCACGTGCGACGAATGGTAGCCCGGCATTCTTGGCATTTGCCTCGCGCACGCGTTTTCTCAGCTATTTCTCTAATCTCGGGATGCGGAGGCGCCGATGGGAAAACTGACCGGGAAAATTGCCGTCAGGCCCGTCTTCAGTTTTAATCTCTCTCATTATTTCCCCTCCATTAATATCAGCGCCTGCGAGGGCCATTAAGACAAGGTGCGCCTTAATTTCTTTCTTCTTTTCTGAGATCACTGTAGCCCGCTGGAACCTCTCTATACCTTTTCCTACCTCCATTAACTGAGACAGTTTCCGTTTTCTTTTCCCGGCTAATTAAAATTTCGCTACTTATCGATTTCAAACTTCTCTCCCTCTCTAGCTCTCTCTCTCTCTCTCTCGTTCTCCCCTCCCTCTCTCTCAGTTCATTCATTTTTTCAGAATTTTACCACGAATATCCGCGATGCTCACGCGCTTTGCGCCGAAAGCTCGTCGTCGCCGTCGTCGTCATCGGCGGCGGCGGCGGCGGCGGCGGCGGCGGCGGTCGGCGCCTTTTGATCTTGCCTGTAATCCCGTCGGGCCCCGCGGCCTGACTGACGTCATACACCGGAGAGGTGTCCGGCTGGACCGTAACCCGGCCTATACACACCGGCACGGCCGGTGCACGTGGGAGTGTGTGCGTTGCACGCACTCGCGGATATGTCCTTACCGAGCGCGAGAGGGTCTCAGGGGGGGCCAGGATGGCGCGGGGCGGCGCAGGGGAACGGAGGGGGATGTAAATCTCCGGGGTCCGTGATGAACGACGAAACGGGACTACTTTTGTGCCGGAGAGCTCGAACGCGCCCGGGAAGGGGGTCGTCCTTTGAATTACGCCGTGGTAATTAGCGGACTCCTTAGGCCCCGCGCTTCTCGCAGCAGGTAGCCGGCTGGGAATATATCACGAAACGGCGCTGCGCTAGCGCGCGTCGCGTCGCGTCGCTCCTCGATCGCGAAAATGTTTGGATTGCCGAGAATACCCCGCGATCCGCCTCGCCGAGTCCCGCTCGTTCTGCCAGTAAACCCTGCCGCGATAAACATGGCTCTTTCTCGTTGCTCTTGGATAATTTTCATCGAGTCATCGGGCAATCTAAAGGATAACGTAAGAGGTGGTACAAAATATATAGGCACTCTGGGTATATTTCAAGTATTACTTCCAGAGGAGATGCCTCTTAAGGGTCCACGTTGCTAGAACACGGTCCAAGTTCTAGTTCCGAGAAACGTGTAGCCAATCAACTTGCAGCTCTTATGGAACAGCTGCGAGTTAATTGGCTACACATTTTTCGAAACTAGAACTTGGACCGAGTCCTAGCGTCGTGGACGCAGGCCTTTAGAGAATCGAGAGAGACGATCGAGTAGCAGAAATATATATAAATCAACGGTGCAGAACGTATTAAGAAGTGTTAAGGAGTATGTATATTTAAAGAAAGAAATCAATCGCGCGATACGTGCGTTCGATTTATCGCCAGGTCGTCGCTGCTGCGAACGACTCGACTCCACGGTCGGTCACGATCTCGGATCCGGAGCATCGCGCGCAGCATCCGCGGGGACGCGCGTCAGCGCGCGTCTTCTCTTATGCAAAGCTTCCTTTATGTAAATAGGCACAAACACGCAGGATACGGCTGTGCCCCCCGGCTGTCCGTCTCGAGGACTCTCTCCCCATTGTCCCCGCGCGCGAAGGAGAGAGCGCTTTTAAGGCTCCCCGGACGCTTTTAAGGCCGCCTCCCCCCGGCCACCTCCGTCCCCCTCGCCCGTGGCTTTTACTACTCCGTGCAAAACCAGAGCCGTAACTCGTGGCGCGGTCCTCTTTCGTGGTTTTCTGAAGCACGCGAGGTCCACCTTCGCGGCGTGTCGTAAGAGCCACCGCATCCGCGCGCGCATCTCATTCCGCTTCTTTGCCCCCCCAACGCCAGCCAGGACCGCTCTCTGGCCGTAGCGCGTAACGCCGTTTGTTTGACTTCGTGATTATAATTAAGTTAATTAAGGGGGTGTCGCGGAGACGGCAGGAGAGGTGGACTAATTACTGGTAATTAGCGGTGTTTGAGCGGCACCTCGCGTGTCGCCGCGCTTTGTCCGCTAAGCGGCCCTCTTTTGCGCGAGTTGACCCTCCCGTTCCTCTTCTTCTTCTTCGCTGCCCACTTTTGTGTGCGCGCGCGGCTCCGTTTATTCTCATTTAGAAAAATGGCCACGCCACTTGCGCGCACCGCACCGCGCGCGCGCTGCATTGTGCCGCGCACCGCGGCGCAGTGAGAAAACACGCTATTTTTCCTCGGCTTCGTTACCATCCAACGCACGGTAGTGTTTTCTTCTCGGCACACGTGGTGCGGCGTCTTTAGTTGCATAGTACATTATAGTTCCCGATAATTGCTTTGCGGAAAGGATTCGTATAGAAATCGCATTTCTGTGTTTCTCGCGCCGGAAAATTGCGTCTTTCAAAGTGGCAACTCCGACCTACGCCGTCTTTGATGTCCCCGACATCAAAGATCTGAAATCCGCATGACGGTCTTCTGCCCATTCCGCTATTATTGAACAATCAAGTATGGCCCGTCGCTCTCTCGCGCGATGGAAATAGACGTACCGGACACCATCGCTACGTGACGAGCCATTATGGTAAACGGGACCGTGTTTATTGCATTTGCAGGACAGGGTCGGGTGAACCAACTGGGCGGTGTGTTCATCAACGGTCGTCCATTACCGAACCATATCCGTTTGAAGATCGTCGAGATGGCAGCGGCCGGCGTCAGGCCGTGCGTCATATCGCGGCAGCTCAGGGTCTCGCACGGCTGCGTCTCGAAGATCCTGAATCGATATCAGGAAACAGGATCGATCAGACCCGGCGTAATCGGCGGTAGTAAGCCGCGAGTTGCCACGCCGGAAGTCGAGGCGAGGATCGAGGACCTTAGGCGGCAGAACCCTGGGATCTTCAGCTGGGAGATACGCGAGAAATTGATAAAGGTCTGTTGATATCGCCCACGTCATTACGCCACTCCCTGAAGTTTTGGATGTGAATGTAGAAGCACGGAGTGAAACGTTCACTCCGTGGAGCAAATATTTACTCCATTGGAGCGAACGTTTACTCCAGTGGAGCGAATATTGTACTCCGTGGTTCTATTTGAAAACTTTGGAGAGTACTTTTCTTTGAAATTGAAAAGAAATTCTTTTTAAAACAAGGGGAGAAGATACTTTAAGATAGGACGCAACGTGCTGGTTTTCCTCTTTATAATTTTGTTTTTAAATAAACGTTCTTATAAACTCTAAAGAAAATGATGCAAGTAACTTAGAAATAACGCGCCTCTCTTTGTCTATAGATTTTAAAAATGTACTTCCATATTATTATCTGAATCGTTAGAGGGCAACGTCATATTTAATTCGCGAGAGAAACATTGGATAAAAGAAAAATTATGCTAACTGGTCCAACGCGGTTCTGCCAGCAGGACGGAGTCTGCGACAAAGCCTCTGCGCCTTCCGTGTCCAGCATCACCAGACTTCTTCGTGGACCAGCCAACCAGACGCGTCCCGGCGACGATCTACGTAGAAATCACTCCATCGATGGCATTCTTGGTGAGCATCACGAGTAACTGTTATGATTATCGCGATCCGATCTATCCGAGATGATCAAGATTTTCCATACAGCCGGCGGATCGCCGTCGAAAAAGATCATCGGCGTCTATGTCCGTAATACGTATCGTCGTTTTAACACTGCATAAACCACCGGGCGAACGCAAATGAAGCGCCCGGGGTTAATCGAGCGATAAGCGTAATTACAGCGTAGTCGTGTGCTAAGTTAATCGAGGCAAGGCGGCCGCGACGATCGGCCGTTTGCAGCTCGCGTGCTCCTGGTGCCCGCTCCGAAACGCAACTCGACACTTTTCCCATACGCGTAACGCGATCAGGAAGTCGTTAGCCTTCCGCGTCGAGTCTCTAAAGTCGCGAGTTTTTCACGCGTTTACAACCGCGAGCTCATACACGAAAGTAATAAGGAGTTCAATTACCGATCGCACCGAGGGATGTTATTACGCGGATGCTTTTCGCGACGTTATCGTCCGCGTTTCGTTCATTCCACACTCGTCGGACGTTACACACGAGCCTCGAGACGCGTCTACACACGCAAGTTCCACTTACTGAAGTATCCAGCAGTTTTCTGGGCACGCTGAGGACTTGTAGGAATATAGGTCTGGTCGGCGAACGTAAAGGGGAATTCCTTTCTTTTTTATTTATTACCGGCGGTAAGGGGCGCGAAGAAATATTGGGCGTCCCGTGGCGCGTAGATGTGTCGAGTTTATTACCTTGTCGAGAAGATTTAGTTTTGATTAGACGTATGTCCGAGATTGCAACTTCGCGCGCGCAACAATTCACGGATGGTACCCGACCTGTTGCTTCCTGTCGCATCGGCCAATCTCCTCGCGCTCTTGTGAAAGCGACTTTCATCTTCTTGACGTTATTCGTATCATCCGTTAGAAATGTTCCCGCTGCAGATAAAAATTACAACGCGCTTTAACGAGATACGAATGAAAACTGAAATAGAAATGTTGGAATGACGTGTGTGGCGATATAAAGAATGCAGTTACATCTTCGTTACGTCGAGGTCTTACTCTTTAAAAATCAATCAGTGAATTATCACTGAAAACAAGAATAGTCACTGATTTACAGTTACAAGTATACCACTGCGATTTTCAGTGGTATACTTGTACTATTCACTGTTTTCAGTGATAATCCACTGATTTTTAGAGAGTATACTTTAAATGAAGCGATTGATTATTTATCAGCGATTAAAAAAAATGGTTACACATCTCTTCGTTTCGACAAAGTATACTCTGTAAAAATCAATCAGTGATTTATGACTAAAAACGGTGAATAGTCACTGATTTACAGTTACAAGTATACCACTGCGATTTTTAGTGGTATACTTGTACTATTCACTGTTTTCAGTGATAATCCACTGATTTTTAGAGAGTATACTTTAAATGAAACGATTGATTATTTATCAGCGATTAAAAGAATGGTTAGACATCTCTTCGTTTCGACGAAGTATACTCTGTAAAAATCAATCAGTAAATTATCACTGAAAACAGTGAATAGTCACTGATTTACAGTTACAAGTATACCACTGCGATTTCCAGTGGTATACTTGTACTATTCACTGTTTTCAGTGATAATCCACTGATTTTTAGAGTCAATTTTAATTGAAGCGATTGATTATTTATCAGCGATTAAAAGAATGGTTACGTCTTCGTTGCGACGAGGTCTGTACTTTAAATGAAGCGATTGATTATTTATCATGGATATATTTTATGCGAAGAATCGTTTACAATAAGGTGTCGAGATAAAATTGCCCGAAGGTTGCGATTCAATTACGAATACCTCGATAAAAGTCCCGGGGAAGACGCATAGATCTTTATTGGGTCCGCCGCGTTTGCAGGCCGGGTAAATTATGTATTATGATTCGAACAAAGGGGAGGAACAAGAAGAAAGTCAGGCGCTGTTCCTGCCGCTAATGCACCGCCGCGAAAGGAAAGGAGACGGGGACGAAGAGAAGGAGGCAGAAGAAGCAGGGGAAGACCGAGTCTTTTTGAATGCGCACCTCGGACGTGGAACCTTCGTTCTTTTTACTCGATCGCAGCGTGATGGTTTAGCACTGATGCCGGCAATGTATTGGATCGGCTTACGACGCGGATAGCGCGGATAGGAGGACGTGGAGAAAGAGCGAGATAACTTGAGCGATTGGTGCACTAATGCGATAATAACACATCATCATTGCCAAGTAACAGAGACCGCGGATAGGGATATTTTCCTAGGTTTTCCCCCTACAAGAATACCCGTCTCCCTCCCGATAGCGCAATGTGATTTTCTATTAATACATTCCCCCGTATTAATTACCCTTTTCGGGAGGGAAATGCTGAGAAAAGTTCAAACGAATGATTAAACGTCAAGCGTTAAATAGCGACAAAATGAGAAATAGCAAACAATCTAGTAGATCGGACGCACGATGCAATCAGCACGGGGGAACTTAAAAGGTCTCACAAATACACACTTCAATCATTTCGCCCCGCGTCCATTCATCTTCCGCGCACCTTTCTCCCCTCGCCGACGTGTCAGTTCCAGAATGCAAGATCACCCGGCGGTTCCGGTAGCCAAGAACACGCGCGATAAATAACCCCGCGGTCTGTCTCTCCGTAAAAGAAATCGGGAGGAACGATCGCGGGGGACAAGAGAGAGAGAGAGTGAGAGAAAGGGGAGGGGGGGAGAGAGACAGAGATCGGGCGTAGCGCGTGCAGGGAAGGAGGATGTGTCAGGTGGAGCCGAGTCGGAGGAACGTGAGAGAAGAAATCGGGCGGAGAACGACTGAGAGGAGCGAGCAGTCGAACCTGAGGAACGAGACGACGAGGATGGCGCGGATTCCACGACGGTGCAACAAGGACGGAGGGAACCCGCGCGCATATATATACCTACGCGGCACCAGCCGCGGCGTGTGGTCTTCCTCGGCTTCGTACCCGGCCGCCTGCCTCTAATCTTACAAACCGCCAACAACACACCCCGTGCCCGCTTGTTCGCGGAACGCAACGGCACCCTCTATTGATTTAGATGCTCTTACTGCGGGGCAGAGGCTCGTGATTGAGACCTTCGTCGTTTGCCGCGCCCGGGACGGCGATCGCCTCGCCGGTCATCTCTTGAATAGTAATTGTTTAGCATTTCTCGCCGATGCTTACCTCGACGTGGTACCGGCGAACGGTACGCAGTCGCGAAACGTCGCGTTTGTCGCGCGTATTGTTCGTTTGGAACCGAGCGAGAAATGACTCGTCAATCGATGTCGAAATGATGTCGAATCGACATCGACACCGATTGATGTCGACATCGACACCAATTGATGTCGACTCAACGTCAAATTGGACTGTGTCGATGTCGTATTCGACACCGATGACGAATCACTTTTCACTGGGAAGCTACACTAGACCTTAGACGTGAATAATTCAGTTACAAGCGTCACGATTGGGAAATTATTTCTTTCTTGCGCGTAGGTTTCATAAAAATTGTTCTTCCGATAAATAGGACTATCCGCTTTTATCTTTGTCACTGGAATGCATTTTTCGTATACACATTTTAATTGAATGTAAAATAAGATTTTTTTCTAGAGACAAATTTGCGTATGCTAATAAGTTTCAGTGTAATTCTAAATCAATTTTGTGAAGGCTGCAGGTGATTGCCATCTCTTTTTGACATGTGCGTTCGGTCCCAGATTCATGGGCCTATCGGCGGGCGCTGATAGCTCGTGGAAAGCGTTAGGATCCCGAAAAATCGTTGGGCATGCTCCTGAAAGCCTCGCGACGATTTACGAGCACGCGGCAGTCTTTAATCTGGCAGGGACCGCCGTGCACTTCGTGGTTTTCAAATTCTGGCTGATGTCCGCGCAGGTGCTATTGATTTAGACGTTCATTCCCGTCGGCCGATCGACTTGATCCGGGAATGAGTTTGTAAATTACGGAGTACAGCTTTAAAAAGAGACACAGGACTCCCGACGCTACCTCGATACGCCCAGAAATTAATGTTGTGCGCTAGCCGAAAGTACTATCCTATTATGAGAAAACTGTACTGTTAACAGAAGCAGACCATTGAGTGTTCAATGGTGATAAATAATACGTAAACTTTGTCAGTGGGAAAGTCAGCGGAGGAAAAGTTTTGGAAATAAAAAACAAATGTTAAAAACTAAATTATTCATACTAAGCCTCGTCGGTCAGAGTTATCGATGTAGTTGTTGAGATCAGCGTAACAGGGACAAACCGTGGAGAACAAATTAGGTCCCAACGGGTTACAAATCAAACTCGAAATTCCATAAATAGTGTCTCGTGGGGCCAGACAACGGTTCCTCTTCGGAACGGGCTTTCGTTTAGCTCGGGTGGGACGGGACATGTCAAAGAACTTAATTTCTTCGCGGCGGACCCTAATTTCTCCGGTGTTTTAGTTTAGTATAGGTTCGGCTGGGCACGGCTGTAATCAGAAGGGTCTTAATGGTGGGTTGCTGAGACCGGCGTGTGAACTGTGGGCGTGAACGACTCGCTTCCTATCTTCGGTATCTGACGTGCAGCACGTGCTGGACCGAGAGATGCTCTCGCCGCTATTAAGCAACGCGCGCTCGCGTCTCTCCTCGCGGCGGCTATCGGCGATGTTTTGATGCCCGAGTGGAATCCACCGAGTTCGCGTTTCCCTTAATGTGTCATATTTTTACAATTCGCCGGATAGCGGAATGATTTTATCTATTCTGAGGCGGAAGCCCGCTAATAATTGATACGCAGGCTTCTGAAATGAACGAGTGTTTGAACGGCGTAACCTTTGATTATCTCTTCAGGCAGTAGCGGCGACGATTCGGAGACGGAAAGCGAACCTGGCATTGCGCTCAAGAGAAAACAGCGCAGAAGCCGGACCACCTTTACTGGCGAACAACTGGAGCAACTGGAAGCGGCTTTTCATCGAACGCAGTATCCTGATGTGTACACCAGAGAGGAACTCGCGCAAAAGTACGTTTTTCCTAAGAATAACCTCTCTCCCGTTTCGTACAAAAATCTTTAGGTAATATCACATTGATATTTAATTAGCTATGTTGATTTTCCTTGTTGTAAACTTTTGCAAAACTTGATATTAAATTGGAACTTGTGACTAAAGAGATTTGCGACATTTTATTGCCTTTGTCACAGCTGCGCTGTTGATATTTCTAGTAATATTCGCGGGTGTCCTTTTTTCGCAGAACGAAGTTAACGGAAGCGCGAGTGCAGGTTTGGTTCAGCAACAGGCGCGCCAGGCTCCGCAAACAGCTCAACAGCCAACAACTGAACGCCTTCAACATGAGCCTACCCTTCCAGACCCAGCACTACGGCAACGGTGCTGAGAGCTATCAAAGCTACGGGCAGGCGAGTGTTGCTGCAGCAACCACCGCCAGCTATTCTCAGCATTACAACTACGGGGAGAACTATTACGCGGCACAGCAGCAATGGCCGCGGGCAACTCCGGACAATTACGGGTAAGTTTTAGCGACTTGATGCATGATGTTTGTCGAAATACCCGTTTTGCGACCAGACGGAGAGGAGAGAGTCGCGTTAACGGCGCGATATAAATCACGAAATTATTGCTGGTTTAACAATTGATTGCGCTCCTATCGCTCCTTCGTATATTATGCGTGAATCTTCTCGGAATCTTCCGTTATCATCAAATATCCTTTCACATCCTTCGAATCGTGTTTCCTTCGAAAAATTTCTTCGTTATCGCTTGCAATTTTCCTCACGCTCCTCAGATCTTAGAGCGCGATTAACTCGCAAACACTTTTATTTAAAATGTAGTTTCGTTCTATTATTGCGTCATCCTTATCGCTAGTCGATACGTAAAATCCGATAACTATTCGCTTCTGGAGCGATCCGAAGTCACGTGGACACGTAATCGAATGCGTTATCTCTCGTCCGCGAACACCCCCGCAACGATTATCCGCGATCGATCGTCGCTACCTCGCGGCGCTGCCGCGATCGGTTAAAGCTGGATCACGGCGCAGGTACACCCTGCGTCGAAGGATCAAGACCCAGGTTGGATTATTAGCCGGTAGCGTTTCATTACGGAGGCCCAAGAAGCAACATAATTGAGGACCACACAGAAAACGTGTCGGCAGGGCTCCGCTGGGCTCTCTTTCTCTCGCTTCCTCGTTCCCCATGCTCGCCGTCTCTACCCCTCTCGCTTTCCTCTCGCTCTCTCCCTCTCTCTTTCCACCTTTCGGCTCAAGTGAATCGGCTCGTCCGCTCGGCGTGTAACAACACACTGTAGCAACCCGGCCACCGGAGCAACCTGTTATTACGCCACAATGGCTGAATTAATTGTTCGAAACACCCCGGCTTCGCCGTCTTTATCTCCGCGCGTTGCCGCGCGCGCATCTTTCTCGCGGCGATGCACCGAGCTTACTGTCTCGCTCGGGCCCCTTCGGGTCTTGTACAACAACGGACTTGGTTCACCGATGCCGAGCCATCACGTGGTGCGGAGCGGAGCACCGCCGGTTTTAAACATCCGGGATAATACTCGTGGACCCCCGGTGGAGCGTCAGCCTACCTCGTGGGGGGTCGGCTCTTCGTGGTCGACTCTCTCAAGCTCGAGCGAACGATTTCGTCGCTGTCGATGGTTGTCGCCGTTTTTGCCGTTTCACGTTTTAGACAAGAGGATCAATTCTGTATCTTACACTGTGGTGAAAATGCTAAGGCGAATAGCTTTTGGCTCTTTCTAACCGTCCCCTTAGAAAGAGACAAAACCGCTCACTTTTAGCATTTTCACTATATTGTAAGATACAGAATTGACCCCAAGCACTATGGATTGTCATGGAACGACTGTGAATCACGGTAACAATGCATTCCATTTGGAAAGAGACAAATAAATCTCGACAACTGGAAAGGTCAATGTGGTTGCGCCTAATGTGAAAACTGTTCTGGAAAATGCTGAAAAATGCTGAAAAATCACGAGGCCTGCTAATGGTACATTTTTCAGCAGGAAGAAGACGAGTTTGGCTACTGGAAAGTATTCCAGGTTCAAATACCACGGGAGCACTACTAGCGGGTGTAGAGAAGTAATCGCGAGTCACTTTAATTCTGGCCGAAAAGCCAAGACAGGTTTTAATCTTGAAAAGCCAAAGATACTTTATGAAACGAAGTTAATGATAGTTTGTAATTAGATTTTTAATTAATTAAGATTTCTGAATTTTTCGACACGGGAAGAAGCTCGAAGCCGGCGCGTCCCGAGAGAATATTTAAAATGCACGTTCCATATTTTATTCGACGGCCGATTTTAATTCCGGAGAATCGCGAGCTGTAAATTTCGGTCGCCACTAAATTCTTAAGAATTCGTTAACGCGACTATAGAAAAAAAATTTGATTTGTGAGCGGATAGGGAGACATTCTCCTGCATGAAAATAGATTCGTAGGGCGGAGTATGGTCGATAAATCGCGCGGCTTCCGCCAGAAACGTCGCGCTACCTTCTAAATGAAAAAAAGGGGGAAAGAAATAAAGTTATAGTGCGAACTAGGCCCAACGCCGACGGGATTTAGGGTGCTTAGGCGTCGTCGCGAAGCGCGGTCAAAGGGCCGACTTCGTTTTACAATCGTATGCTTTAATCGTCTGAAAATATCGATACGCGTTTCAAGCTTACTTTAATTACGAATTGATTTCTTATGGCTCTGGACATTGTCTAATTTCATTTCTTACACCAATCGTTTCTTTTTACTATGTCACCAACGTGTTAATGTACGTAACTTTGCGTACATTTTGATATCATTTATATTATCAGGAGTTTGAATCTATTTGTCTAAAGGATATACTTTTTGCTTATCTATCTATCTATATATACAGATAGATAGATAAGCAAAATACATCGATTTTATTATGCATTCATTTCACATTACACACTTTTATAAAGTGTTTCCAAACTTATGGAGGGTATTGCATATATACCTATTGAAAAATGTCTAAGCTAAAAGGATAATAATATAAAGGCGAAGCTTTGCTCAAGGGACAACGATCTGAGATCCTTAATCACGGTAGTGGAATCGGAATGCTCAAAGGGCCCCGCGACGGCGTGTTTGGAAATCGGCCGCTGCCGCCCTCGACACGCCCTAACCGATTCGCAGAGCGTGGTATGAGTGCGGTATCGCCTTGCAAACGGCAGTAACCACGTTGAGAGAACCACACGCCGGAATTTCATTTTCGTATTACCGCGTGTGGACACCTTTCACCATTGTGCGACTCGTTTCATCGTATCGCGGCGTAACTCCCCACGTGTCCGTACACACGCGCACGTACAATAGTTAATTTATATTCGAGATGTCGAACGGAGATATAATTGCGAATATCGGCGAGTAATGTACTTTTTTAACTGCCGGCCGATGTATCGCGGCTCGTGAGAGAATATCCTTTTTATTATCGATATTTAATAAGCTTGTCGATTCTTACATCATATTCATAATTTCACAATTGTAAAGAATCTCTTCTCAGGCCTTTCTAAAATTAAGATTGAAAGTCGAATACTTTTTTACATTGTTAATAGAAACGCATATATTAGCAATTGCCGAAAGCCTAATGACATTCTCCCATTATTTGTGCGATTTGTGTTGTTCAGGGAAAGTTTTAGATTCAGGAAAAACGGCGAGGTTTCGTAGTATTACGTAATATACTCTGCTGCATTATTCACTGAACATGAATCTCGCACTATATAAAATAAGATATATTTATCAGCAGCACAAGGATCAACACTGGCCACCGAAATAAATTTTGTTACTTGTAAGCGGACGTTCGACCTCGCCTGTTGCAGATTGTTCAACGCCTCCCATTACGGCAGCAGCAACCTTGCCTCCAATCTGACTTCCACCAATCTCAATCTGGGCAGTCTGGGGGGCAGCGTCAGCCCGACCGGGTCCAACATGAGCGCCTGCATGGTGCAAGGTGGTGCATCCTCCTCCGGAGTGTCAGTCTCGACGGGGATGGCACCCCACGTGACTCCGCACAGCCCCAGCGAGGCGAAGAGCGGATATCCGTATTTGGGCAGCATCGATTCTCAGGTTTGCGGAAGAGTTCACTGAATTTAACTTTAAACGATCGCAAATCCACTACGAAGGCGACGTAAAAAAATCGTTAATGTTATTTATTCTGTTTTTCCTTGAAGCTGGATTTGAATTGGTAAAAGCATTTGCGCGTATCTTGAACAGATTTCTGGTCGACGAAGCGTTTAGCTACTCTACAAGAGAATACGCTTCTTTTTAACTTTTATTGTTGAATAATTACTTGCATTATTATTTACACGTTGTTACTTTTATCAGAAACTCAGAAGTTCGTTCGTTGACTTTATTGCAATATCGTTTCTGGAATAGCTTCCGATTGAAGTATATGTGTTATGTATAGTCTTTGGAATTTGGAGAAAGAATTTTTTTATTTGTGAATATGTAATCGGTAATTTATGCATGAGACGCGAAGTGTTTGTAAATATCGAAACCGCTTTATAGATGATACACGTAAATTTTTCCACTGCGAAGCTGCTGCATATTTATGATAGAGTTAAACTCGCGTTTAAGTCATACACCTAGACGTAGGTAAGCCGCTCACTGACTTCTGAGAAGTGTCGTAATTACGAAGATTTATTCGTTAGAGTGATTAGCACTTGGCAGTTGTACAGCAATGATGCCTTGGATGCTTTACCGCCTTAGAATTGCCTTATTATAGCAATAATATAATGCAATTGCATTTCTATTGTATTCACGTATGACTCGCGTATATTTTATATTAGACTAAGGCTGTACATACACTGAGAAAAATTTCCGTCTGATAAACCAATTAAATAGTGTTTCCGATGGTTAATTTTTCCTATTACGTTTTCCGATTAAATTGTGTGTATATCCGATGAAATGCAGTTACCGATGAAATTCGATCGCAAAACCGATCATATTTTTCATCGGATATACAATTTAATCGGATATATCCGTTTGTTATTATGTAATTGAATTACCCGATTATATTTAATCGGACATTTTTCACCGTGTATTTATGCACTGAGAAAAATGTACATCGAATAAACCAATTAAATAGTGTTTTCGATGGTTAATTATTCGATTAACTTTTCCGATCAAATTATGTATATAACCGATGAAATGCAGTTACCGATGAAATTTGATCGAAAAACCGATCATATTTTTCATCGAATATATCCGTTTGTTATTATGTAATTGGATTATCCGATTATATTTAATCGGACATTTTTCTCAGTGTATTTATGCGCTGAGAAAAATTTCCATCGGATAAACCAATTAATAGTCTTTGCGATGGTTAATTTTTCGATTAAATTATGTATATATCCGATGAAATTTATCCGATGAAATGCAGTTACCGATAAAATCTGATTAAAAAACCGATGACATTTTTCACCGGATATACAATGTAATCGGATATATCGGTTTCGTTCCTATAATAGAACGACGCAAAGTGATTTTCAGGGTTAACGCCTGAATAAAGAAAATTCAATAATCTTTAAAAACGCAATCAAACAAAATGAATATATTTATTAGCGAATTTGCTATAAATGTAAAAACCGGAGTAATTATAATTTTTAGTCATTCGTATACGACTTGTTTATATGAAACACGAAATAATTTTTGACAACGAACATTCAGTTATGTAATTCTTGAATGGAAACTTTAGTAAACGTAATTTGGTTGTAGCGGTGTAACTTTGTAAAAACGGGAGACTTCTGAGTTGTCCATCGGATCTGTCCTGAAAACTAAAATGTTTACCAGAGTCTCCAGGACAAAAGCTATACTCGGATCCGAGGACGCGGTTAAACTACTCGGAAGCCCTGGCGGTCTTGTATACCTTTCTAATAAACTGCGCAGTTATGAAAGAATTCTCCGAGATTTTGGTATAGAGAGTTAAGGATCTCTAGCGGGATAGCGGTCTTTCTGGTGCCTCTGTTAAGACTAGTAACTCGTCACGATGTGAGGTTTTCCCTTTTTCTTTATGTTAGTATGGGTAGCCTTAGACGATACCGTCTCGCAATCTCTCTTTAAGGTGGAAGCACACAAAAATACAGAAGCCATAGCGCACGCGCTTCGATATCTGCATGAACGCATATATCACAGCGCACGCGCTATGGCTTCTGCTATGGCTTCTGTAATTTTATGTGGTTCCACCTTTAGTGCCATCGCACACAAAATTGCATAGCTGTATATGCATAGCATGAAAACCGTCTAGACCAATAAGCATGTTATGTAAATCAATATGGCGACTCAATGCTCGATGTTCATTGGTTTAAACGGTTTTCATGCTATGTATAAGACCATCTGGACCAATGAGCATGTTATGTAAATCAATATGGCGACTCAATGCTCGATGTTCATTGGTTTAAACGGTTTTCATGCTATGCACATGCAGCTATGCAATTTTGTGTGCGATGGCCCATAGACTTCTGTGTAAAGCAAAATGCTAGCGGGAAGGATAAACAACACCATGGTTACAACTTTTTTAAGGCCCGATTTCAACAACGTTGTTTAACTTTAAGCTTGGCTTAATTAGTTCTTTGTCTCTTTCCAGCTGTTGCTCCAGAAAGAGACAAACCTGAATTGAACTAAGATTAAAGTTAAGCGACGTTTGGTGAAACCGGCCCTAAGAAAGAGAGAGAGAAAGAGAAAACGGAAGAAAGAACGGCGGCTCGTGAATCTAGCCATAATGGAACGATCGATAAGACTAGAGCTAATGTCTAACACGTTTGTTATTATGTAATTGGATTATCCGACTATATTTAATCGGACATTTTTCTCAGTGTAGTATTGTACGGAATCGTAAGGAAGTTATTGATAAAGATATTCATATCACAGTCGACGTTGTGACCTTACCCCGCATGTTATCTAATTGGCCAGTTCAATTATTGTATATATCGCACATAACGTGCCGTTGACACGACAGTTATATCCGATTTGTATAATGCAACGTTATATAAATAAATGGACTATGCGGAAAAGTGTCGTCGTGTCCTTCCACTATACCGCCACAACTTTCTCATCAGTGATTCGCTCGCAAGGTAAGTGCATATTTAACTGCCATCCATAGATGTATGACCGATAACAGATTCGTTGACTGAAACTTATACCTCAGAAAACGAAGTTATCTCCTGCCCTTTGCCGCATACCCCGGGTAACATTTAAAGAGACGGGCCAGCCTAAAAAGTGGTGCGTGCATAATTCGCGATCGGTCCCGAATCGTCAGGCTTGTCTCCCGGTTTTCAGCCGCCCCCGCGAACCCGTCGTTGATCACAAGCCCGTCGTCAGGAAACAGCGCGCGACCGGCGGGGGTTCGGCGGGCCCCGAAGAGCCGACAATCGGGCGCAACAGTGACAACGAGCAATCAGCCTGCCGTATATCTACGGGTCCTGTCGCCACGCATTTGTGCCCCATTGTGTCGACGAAGTAGGTGGTCGTTCTTTCTCTCTTTCTTCCTCTCTTCCGTACTGCCCGACCTCCAGGATTCAGCGACACAAAAGTACCACCGCGCGACAATTCGCCCTTACCGACTTTTAACTTTTAACCCTTCGCATCTCAGCGACCATGTTTACGGATATGTCATGGACGTGGCTTTTACGATTTTAGTGCGCCCGGCTCATTCAGAGAAATATTTATATCGCTAATTCTCGCGCTACTTATGCGTCTATCGTGCTAACAGTAATATCGTGAGACTATTTTTCGCAAATTTGAGTACGTTGAAATCGGTCGTTAAACGTGCAATCCGAAAGGCGAGAGAAAGTCATGAAGAAACGCTGTATTCGGCATCAATTTTTCTCAATACCGTCTTGTTTAAAGTGGACTCTTACATGTGTGAACAATTTAAATATGGATGGAGGACGTGTTGTTACATATTTTAAGAAAGATATTTCAAGGATTGTTCTAAATTGTTGTTAAATATGCCACACGTTTGGGATTTGCTGAATACGAGTTAATAATTATTTTCTCTCACGTTTCCGTGCGTTATTTTGACTTTTGACGTAGATTTAACGGACGGCAAAAGAAGTGCGTCGAAAGTTGTTGTGTAAAAGTTCGATCCATGTCACACGGCGTTTCTTCTGGACCTCACGTATCGTTTGCCTGCCTCCGCGTGTAATTCGCTATTCAATGATCCCCGCCCATATTCCAACCCCCTATGAGCGCGGTTCGGGGTTGCTTCAAGAGCGGCTCCTTTGAACGTCGCCTGCCTTTCTCTCGTCGCCAATCCTACCAAATATCTTCCCCCAATCTGTTGCTTCAAAATTACCCTGACCCCAATAGCGATGTGGTAGGTCAAGGACTGGTACAAAAAAAACGGCGTGGTCACGTATTTTCGTGAGAACTTTTATCGTAAAATACAATGCTAACTTGGCATTCAGTGTACTCGTATTCGGTAAATTCTTTGTTCGAAGTAATTTGCAATTGTTCGTATTATTTAACCAAAAAAATGAGGCTAAACTATTCGTAAGATATTTCGGTTTCGCTCGCGCCTCATATTTTTCATTACGAAGAAATCACTTTTGAGATTCCCTTTTTGAAGCAATTAAAAACGTTGCAGTGAAGAATGATTTTATCGCAAAAGGTGCACATGGCAAAAGTTGGCAAACTGTATCTTCCGCTTGTTCGTTAAACAGTCGTCCTTTCTTCTTTCTCGTCTTTGTCAAAACTTTATCATTTAGTTTAGTTTAGGCCGATCTTTGCTCCTCCGTTTAGTCTTCCAACACGGTAACCAGAACAGATGTACCGGCAACTGCAAAGCTGATAAGTGTGACGACCTCCCAGACTCAAACCGCACCCTCACGATGGAAATCTGAGGGTGTCCTTACGGCCTATCCGTGCGTGCGCGTACATTGCGTGACTTCGGCCTGTATGCGCCGCGATGCATATCCGAGACATATATTTTTCACAGCATAAAGTCGCTTTATGCGACATAAAACGGCATAATGCGATTTTCTTCCGACAGATGCATTCTGGACAATATGTTATGAATTTCTACATAATTACCGTCAATTATTGCTTACGATTACTGGTATTACCTAGCGTTTCTAATATCGAGTGCAGCTCTGTTGAGTAAAGAGG